GAAAATGATTAATCGATTATTAAATTAGTCATCCATTATTTTAATAATCAATTAGTTGTCGACTAATCGTGGCAGCCCTAGTCAGAGCCTGTAGGATGTTAAAAGAACAAACAAAAAAGCAACAATAAATAACATCAAATAACCATCTTCCAACCCACTCTGCCGCTATAAACATGTTCTCCCGTCATTTTCTACTGCTTTGCGCTGCAGTTGGTGTCACCTCCACAGCCGACAATCCGCCTGCCACCCCACCCCCCTTCACCCCAGCGTGTGTTTAGTACAGTTTTTTTTGTGAAAATTACAGATTTTTGAGGCTCGTACTTCGTAGGGGTTGACACTTATGTATCAATATTGATCCATATTGTGCAAGAAACAAGCATTAGCATCATGGTAATTAGCTGCTAAGATACAGTCTACACCCCATAGAAAACTGCTAGCATAATGCTAATCTCTTCAGAACACCCATGCACGAAAAAACACACTTAATACTTTACAACACAAAAATAAAGCTACACAGTTACACAAATATTTAATATTGCAATAACAAACTTACCTCATTGGGCAATATAAAACTGTAAATATAAATGTTTTCTTAAGCTTATTTGATTCTTTTATTGGTGTCGGTGTTACTTCCGGTTTCCCACAAAGTCCTTCAGAACTAAAAYAAACAACCTATAGAGCCCCCTARTGGAATGGAAGGAGACAATCTGACACCCTGCCTCTACTCAAAAYCCTGTAAACCTTTTATCAAAATAAAATAATAACGTAAAAGTTATCAACATTTATTTGGAAAGGAAAAAAATACTGTACAGTATATAAAAATCACAAAAAGATGTGCATTTGAATAATTAAAACTATGCAACTCAAATCATAAATTTTCAGAACCTCTGAGCAGACAAGGCAAAGCCCATCCCCTGGTGTTCTGTGGCCCCCCGGTTAGGAACCACTGATTTTGATGCATCCCAGACTTTAACAAACACAATTGGCAGAAAATAAATATCTGCATATTTTTTTAATTGTGTGGTCTTAATAATAATAATTGATTGTTTTTGTTTTTTACATTTTTGTTTTGGTTCAATGTTATCTTCCAAATCTTTGTAATGTAATGTACTCATGTTGTACTCACCTGCATGTCAGAACTATTTCACCCTCAATACTCCCTGTAGACCAGAGAAATGAGTCTATTCCCCAAGTACCAGCCTTTAGCAGGAACCAGTTCTCTGTGTTCTTTCATTACCACCACTTCTCAAACTTCTTTATTGCTTTAGGGTTTGAGTTAACATGAATGTTGTTCTAAAAGTAGGCTATATGTTCCTGATGGTGAGTCTTCTGACAAGTGTTTTCACTTTCCTGGAACTTGTTAACCTTRATTTATAAATGTTATGTGACCAGCAGTCTTTGGTGACTGTGAAATATTTCATTTTGACACATTTTGATAGACTTTCCTGTACAGCAGGGAGCCAGGTTTAATATTTGTGTATAAATCTGTTGCAGGTTTTGCTGGTACACCAGGGTACCTGTCTCCTGAGGTGCTGAGAAAAGACCCTTATGGCAAGCCTGTGGATATGTGGGCCTGYGGTAAGTCTCTGCAGGTTTGTGTGTGTCCGAGAAGGAACAAACATTTTTGAATGTCCAATTTTATTTTTAGTAGCTGATAAATATTCAATTTAAGGAATAGGAATATATTTTGCATTTTTTACAACATTTTTATTGTGCTTGTTACACCTGGGCTGTCACTACTCTTCTGATCACTAAATACTATGGGTGTCACAAAAATGGTTTTGAAGTCATGGTTTGGTTAAAAATGATTTGATTTTGTGTGTGTGTGTGTGTGTGTTTGTTTTTCAATTCAAGCCAGAGAATTTGCTCCTTGCCAGCAAGTTGAAGGGAGCAGCAGTGAAGCTGGCAGATTTTGGCTTGGCTATAGAAGTGCAGGGAGACCAGCAGGCTTGGTTTGGTGAGTACACAGATTATTCTCTGAAGTCAGTCTGTAGTGGACCTTCATGCCAGTCTGGAGCCTCTGCAATACTAAAACTGTTGCCCCTAAAATATTTAACTCTATTTTGCTCCATCTTACCTTCAGCTCTGACTGGTTTCTAAGTTCCTGCTGATGGGGAAAAACATCCCCACAGCATGATGCTGCCATCTCCATGCTTCACTGTATTAATACTTCAATCCAGATCTGCTTGTCTGAACATTCTGCTTACTTTGATTTGATTCCATTAGAGGTTCATTTTACCATAAAGATGTTGGGTTTAGATAGTTGAAGTCCTTTTAAGTCACACAGACTCTAATCTAGAAGATGTTCCCCAGGGTCCAACAAGCTTGGTTCAGTTCCTGGCTGCACTTTGATCAGTGCTGATTGAAAGCACTACACAAGTTTCTCAGTCCCAGCCCTGACACGTCTGGATGAAGTGGCTGAGACATTCGTGTCTACACATTTTTATTTTAGTATGGAACCTTTTCAGTTATCATTTAATGCAGTAGTTCCCAACCTATTTCCCTTAAAG